CCCCCCCCCCAACCCCCGCAAAAAAATACTTTTTTACCTTTTTTTTTGTATTTTTCAATTTTCTGCACCACCCACCCCAACCCCGTCAACCCCAGGCAAAAAAATATTTTATTTTATATTTTCAGTTCTGGTTTTTTCATATTTCAGTTTACAGGTTTGAAATTTTACGAGTTCCAAAGTTATGAGTTCGGAGATTTATGTGTTTGGAACTTTGCGGGTTTAGAAATTATAGAGTTACGGATTCAAAAATTTGCAGGTTCGAAAGGTTAGCGGTTCAGAAGTTTATGAAATTTGTGGGTTCGGAAGGTTGATGGTTCGAAAGTTTATGGCTTCATGTTTATTGTATCTAAATTATTTATGAATACTCTTGAGAAATTATTTTCCTTAACTTGGGTACCAAACACCGGAAAATGAATAAGATTGGAGTACTTGTTTTCCAAGAAAATATTTTCTTGGAAAACATTTTCCGTTATACCAAACACACCCTTAGTCTCTCAACATCCAAACTACGCTTCACTACTCTTCTTCTTTTATCTCTTCCTTGAGGAAAAAAACCTTTACAATATTATTCCACATTGATTTATTAGCAGCCTACATCTGGATAAATTTTCAAAACCATTTTAAGATGAACCCACATTTCCACCGTGTCAAAATGTATAGCTATGAGTTAAAACCCTCATCCTAAGCAAGGAAAAGGAAAAGCTGTTATATCTGTGGAACCTCAAGTGAAAATAGTTATTGACAGAGCTAGAGTGCTTCACCTGCTCTTTGCTGTAGCATCTAAAGTCTGTGAACTGCTTGTTTCCTTTTTGTCAGACTTCATGATCTTGGTTTTCCCCTCTTCACTAGACTCAACGGTTTGTGATTCCCTGCTAATGAGTGCATATAACTTTAGACCTATAGAGGCTTTACCTTCACTATTGACAGTTTTGTTGAGCTTTGCAGATGATGTCTTGTTCAAACTCTTTCTAGTAGCATCATTTACTTTTTGTCTTTTTGAAGAATCAGGTAGAGACAATCTCCCCTCTCTCTTTCTGGAAAAATCAACTTTCTCTGCCTTGGACAATTTTTCATCAGTTTTTGGTCTTTTAGCAATCACTCTGCCATTAGTCACTTCTGCAGATTTTCCTTTTAGTTTGTCCAATTCTTCCGATATTTGCTTTCCCCTCCTATGGTTTCCTGGAAATTTGATGTGATCTCTTAAAGGTGTAGCAAGCTCTTCATCAATCTCATGTTTTCTGAAGAATTTCTCAGTATAAGTCACTTGGAAAAAATTAGACTAAAGCTCACTTGAATAATACCAGCTCAGATGAAGTAAACGCAGAAGTGACATGTAAAAGAACTCACAAGCAATAAATCAAAATTCGATCTGGTATAAGACCATCCCATGCCCTTGGCATCTCCTCGTCCTCGTCCTCGTCCTCGTCCTCGTCCTCGTCCTCGTCCTCGTCCTCGTCCTCGTCCTCGTCCTCGTCCTCGTCCTCGTCCTCGTCCTCGTCCTCGTCCTCGTCCTCGTCCTCGTCCTCGTCCTCGTCCTCGTCCTCGTCCTCGTCCTCGTCCTCGTCCTCGTCCTCGTCCTCGTCCTCGTCCTCGTCCTCGTCCTCGTCCTCGTCCTCGTCCTCGTCCTCGTCCTCGTCCTCGTCCTCGTCCTCGTCCTCGTCCTCGTCCTCGTCCTCGTCCTCGTCCTCGTCCTCGTCCTCGTCCTCGTCCTCGTCCTCGTCCTCGTCCTCGTCCTCGTCCTCGTCCTCGTCCTCGTCCTCGTCCTCGTCCTCGTCCTCGTCCTCGTCCTCGTCCTCGTCCTCGTCCTCGTCATTTTCCTCTTCATCCTTGCTTTTGTCGAAAACAATTTCCCTGGCCATTTACATAAAACTCGTTACACTTGTACACAAAGTACTGTCCAGTGTCCACAAGGATATCAAGGATAAGTACTTAGGCAAGCATTTCCGATGGTATGATGTTGGACACCGTCTACACATAGCAAACTGTAACTCGGGTTTATCTTTATCTTCTCTCTGTTTACAGACACAGCACTGATGCAGAGGACAAGCGAAAGGTTCACCAGCAGCGATCTTCTTTCTGAGTTCATCAACCTTCAACTGAGCATCAGGATGAAGCAGTTTGGCAACACAATCTGGGTGGTAAAAATGGCCACAAGTTGCATTAACGCAACGGAAGACCTGAAAACCATACCCAAAATTTGACTTAATCATATCCATGGAAAAACTGCAATTTAAAGCACAAACTCGAAAATAATATCAAGAGCACAGATATGCACTTATAATTGCTTTCTTAACGAAATAGAATCATACATGCAACTAAATGCAACTCCTAGTGCGCATGAGGAGCAAGAATGAATATAATGAAAGGACACCAGTTTTTACACACAGAAAGAAGTAGCTCCAATATTAAGTACCCCTCAGTCCAGATATCACACACCGGGCTTTTCAGAAGAAAAATGCTGGGACAACGCAATTAGTGCATGTACTAAAAGAGTGAAAACGGTCGTATCCGTAGAGAATATTTTCAGTGGCATTGCAGGCATATCCAGAAATCAATGGGGGCTATAACAGTTGGATTAACCAGTTGTAAGTCTTAATTCAATATAAAGGAATTCTTTGCATATATTGACTATATGCTATGATCATGTACTACATCTATACGCACTATTTTTCCATATTGATTGTCAACATTCAACAGTAGCAGATGGCTGAACATCTTCAGACAATTATACTATTCTAGCAGGTCTTGCAGGTTTGTTCGTACCTCCGCATGAGATGATTGATCAGAAGAACCTAACTCCCCACAAGCATAGCACTGGTGCTGCTGATATTCACAATTTTTACAATAGAAATCTTGATATTTCATTGCCTGGAAGGGAAAAACTTGTATTAGTAGGAAGCAATATGCTAAGCAGAGATGAAAATAAAGTTCACTAGAAGGAACGAAATTCAGGCAGACTTTGACATACCCTAACTTGAGCCTTGGTAAATCCAAGAGACTCACACTGAGATTGAGCACCATCTTCCACAGTAGCATGAAATGACCTCAAGCACTTTCCATCGCAACTGGTTTGGATCACAAGAGGCATATTATTTGGAGAAGCAGAAAAAAGCCACTAGTAATTACGCTTTAAGATGATAATAAGCAATTCAGAACCAAAATTAACCACCTCAGAAAAGAGAGAACTGGGATTTACTACATACTACTATCAGGTAGATACAGAATTTGAAATTGCAAAAGTTCTCAGGAGAAGTAGGTGCAAACAAAAATGTCAATTTGATACCACTAAAACAAACTAAGAAAAACTCAACAAAGACCTAGGAGCCAGAACATGTAAACTTCAAACACAGATGAATGCACTATATATTCAGTTGGACACTGGACTGCAGAGCTTATCTTTCTGTTCTTTATAGTTATGGAACCAAATAAGCTGACCAAACAACCTGAATCAATAATCTACACCTATGTACAAATTTGTATTGGGGAACAAATACAACATTAACAATGGAACATTTAAAAAAGAAAATCAGATAAGACGAAAACATTTGGCAAACTAAACTTAGTTCAACTAAGCGAGCGCAGATTCAAGGAAAAAATACAACATAAGCTGGACATCAGAGTTGTCTTTCTGGAAAGATAAGGACTCAGCACATACCAAAGAAGTTCACCACCATCATCACATATTGCGCAGAGAGATTCGAAGTGATTGTAATCATCTTCTTCATCATCATCATCATTGTCATCTATGATCTCATCGACTATAAACTCGGATATTGACCCAACCTGCCAAAATAAACAAAGCACAAGCTCAAAAAGAACGCCCGATGTTCTGTTTCTCAACTCCTGCTTTCCTACCTTAGAAAAGCAAGGGAAAGAATATGTACAACCTCATCAACTAGTTTCTTCTTCTTAGGCTTCTCCTCCAAAAATGTAAGTAAAACCTGCATAAAATAAGATCAGTTCACTTTTTGCTATAAACTATAAAGATGTGAAATAAATGAGAAGAGAAAAAGAAAGAAAAACAGATTCCAAAAGGAAAAAGGAGAAAATCAGGCCAAAAAGGAACAACCTGATCTAGAGTACTTTATTCCGTCTCAAGTCAGACATTGGTTAGTTCAGTTTATGAGAGAAAGAAAGAAAAAGAATTATGTATATTTATGGGATACACTAGAAGTACTTTTTTGGTTTGCGACTTACCAGCCTTGAACTCTTGGCCTAGTGTTGAAGAGAAAACTCCCTCAAACACTATGACAAAGAGAAAGTACTTCAAGTAAGGATATGTGAATAGAAAGTTAAATGGGCCGTCATCACATAAAATACTCCCCTTCTCCCAATTTATATGACTCTCTCTCTATTTTGAATGTCACCCGGTGTATGACCATATCTTATTATTCCTATATAAAATTCACAATTTTCTAGAACTCAAGTTCATTAACCTATATGATGTCTTCTCTGTAAACCTAACTATCCAACCGTCACTAAAATATTTTCTTTTATCGACACTGATGTAGTAATAGATATGTTAAATCAACTCCTAAACTTCGTGCGTACTCAAATAGGGTCATGTAAAAATGTAACTGAAGGGTTCCGTTTTAAGGAGACTTGTGAATGAAAATTCAAAAACAAATATGTAACGGCAATGGCCGATGAGAAAATACTTTTGACTCTCGAAGTATTTACTTTCGTACTTCTAAAATCAACTACTTTGAAAAGTGCTTTTCAAAAAAGTACTTCTATTGAGAAGCAATTTGTGTTTAGCTAATTAATTTGAGAAGCACAAGCTTTGAAAAGGTGCTTCTAAGTGTATTTTTCAAAAAAGTACTTTTGGGGAGATGCAGCATTTTTTCTACTTCTCAAAAACTACTTATGTTTCTACTCAAAAGCATTTTTTTTCCTTCTAAAAGCTTGGCCAAACACCTTAACTTTTGGAAGGAAAAAAAAAGCACTTTTGGCCCAAAAAGAACGACGCCAAAACTAGCTATATGGCTCTGATTTAACAAAACTTCTTTTACCTCATCTATTACATAAAAAGTACTTGAGACCTCCCCTTTAGTTAATAGAGTCCCCGGTAAAAAGCTTTCCTTGGCCACTTTCCTTAAATGGCAAATTTTTCTTCACCTAACAGTTCAAAAACTAAATAAACTATTGTTATGTGATATCACCTAACTACTCCATTTTTCACACTTTAAATACTTCCCTTTTTATTTTAAATAAGGATTCTAAGTACCTCCCAGCAACCTCACCCCACAATTTATTTGAAGCATAGGTAAAGTGGAACATTTAATAGTGATATCAGCCAAGAACATGCTAACTTATATTCAGTTTTTACCCCTTATACAATTGTATTTCCTTAAAAGTGTAGGGTGTTTTCCTTAAAAATGAGGGAAAACTAACAGATAACAAAGGTGAATTTAGAACTATTTGAACTAGAGATCTTTCCACGTGCTAACTGTCTGATCAAAGCAAGGAATCATACAAACCTTGGATTGAGCCAATTTTCCATCACGCTTAACAATTTCATTGATGAACTTCATGTGATCCACTAGATCATTCTCCGAAGGCCTGGGCTCATACACACTAAAAAAAACATGGGTAAGATTCTAGATTCCCTTCGACAAAAAGAAAATATATGCTGATACATAAAATATAATATGTGAACCTGAAAACTTTAGATAAGTGATCCCACAAAGCTCTGCCAGAAGATTCAGGATTTTTTTTCAGGAAGTGCAAGGAATGCACGGTGATCAAGATTGACCTAATGGTATCCTGGAAAACCTTCCTCGGTTTTTCAAGTCTGATCCAACCGTTCTCTTTAGATAAAACTGATATCGCCGGCTCTATGCGTGAAAAATCAAACTTCCATGATGTGACCTGCTTATAAATCTTCTGAAGGCCATTATCCGCAGTCCCACGCAAGAAAACATGTCTTTTTTTCCCATCCAGACTCTCAGTTTCATTCCACTGAAATTTTAGCTCCGCGAATGAAACAGGCTCATCCTTATCATCTACAAATTCATAGTTAGACACAGTACTCGGGACTGCTTCAACTTCATCATCAGAAGATGCCATACCCACTTTCCCCAAACGCTCTGGAGGAATACCTTACTACCTGTCGATGAAATTCACCCAGTATACAAAGATTAAAAAACACGGAGTTAAGACATGGCTGATACTCTTTAACTAGGAAAACATATCCATATAGTAGAAAAGCTTTTTTCAGATGAAAACGAAGCCTTGTTGCTGTGAAAATCTTATGATCGTTAGGCATTGTATATTTCTAAAATTGGTTATGCACTTTGAAATCCAATATGTTTTGCCTGGAAAGTATATTTAAAAGTTAGTTAAAAGTAGTCAGTGTTAATGAAGGCTGGTATTATGAAGGGGTGGGAAGATTTTAGTGGCCATATTTCCTTTAGGGTTGGGGACAGAAGCCGGATTAATTTTTGGGTGCATAAGTGGTGCGGGGAGAACGAGTTGAGGGAAGCTTTCCCTAACTTATATAGAGTATCTTGCCATAGAGATGACGGTCCAACAAATTTGCAGGTCCCGCCGAGGGGTGCTTCATTGGGATTTGAGATTTAGGAGGTAACTTACAGGATTGGGAGATGGAAGAATTTCACAATCTAGTTGAGTTATTGTATGGGTTGGATACACCGAATAATGTATCGGATGTATGGAGATGGCGGGAAAGTAAAAGTGGATTATTCACGGTTAAATCTTATTATAAGAGGTTATTAGTGAGAGAGGAACAAGTTTTCCCTCGTTACTCTATTTGGATTCCAAGAGCACCAAGAAAGGTGTGTTTCTTTATGTGGTTGGCGGCGAGGGGAGTAATTTTCACAGCGGAAAATCTTAGAAAGAGAAGAATCACCTATGTTAGTTGGTGCTTCATGTGCAAAAGCTCGGGTGAAGATGTAGATCATCTCCTATTGCATTGTAAAGTGGCTAATCGGTTGTGTAGAGTGATCCTTAATTTGTTTGGGGTGCAATCGGCGATGCCGGGTACAGTGAAGAAGGCGTTGCATAGTTGGGTTCACATGAGTGGAAAGAGAAGTCCAAGGGCATGGAGTGCCGCTCCCTAAGCAATCATGTGGGTAATATGGAAAGAGAGAAATATGAGGGCTTTTGAAGGGGTGGAACAAGATTTTGTGAAATTGCAAAGTAGTTTCTTCTTCCTAGTTTCTTTTTGGTGTACTCATGAGGTCCCTATTTGTATAGAGGATTGGATCTCTTTTGTTGAGAACTATATTTTGGTGTAGGTTCTCTTCTTTTTTTTTTGGTATACGGCTTGCATACGGTGTACTCATTTTGGTGTACTCATGAGGTCCCTATTTGTATAGAGGATTGGATCTTTTTTGTTGAGAACTATATTTTGGTGTAGGTTCTCTTCTTTTTTTTTGGTATACGGCTTGCATACGGGGTGAAAGGAACTGGAGCGTGTTTGAACATGTAAGAACTAAGAAGAAAGATTTAGTATATTGAGATAATTAAATTATATCTCAATTGTCCTAATCTTACTAATTATTTATTATTTGCAGATTCATACCAAAAAGAGGAACAAACTAACCTTGAAGCGTCTCAATGATCTAGTCTTCATTAAGTACAATAGAACATTGAAGCGTCGTTACAACGCTCGCAATGTAATTGATCCAATTAGTTTGGACAACATCGATGATGCTAATGAATGGCTAATTGGAGTCCCGGAAGATCATGCAGATGAAGAAGTATTTGAGGAAACTTCTGATTTCACTTGGGGTGATGTTGCGGAGGCGCGTGGAATTGGGGAGAGGATTTATGGTTTGAGGGGGAGTACCTCAACTTCAAGTTCACAAAGGAAGGGAAAAGAGGTTGTTACTTTGTCCCTAGTTGATGAAGAAGAAGTTGAAGAAGATGACAAGCAATATAATAATGATAGGGGATACAAGAATTTGACAATCTTGTAGAAGAATAAAATGCTCATTTTATGCTTTAATTGATGCTATTCATTAGTTTTTACATTGAAGTATTGAACATTTGCTTACAATTACATGTGTTGTCTATGCAGTATTTATTTTAATTTTATTTTTTAAATTCCGCTTCACTTCAAAAAAGCGAGCTCTTCGCTTCTCGCTTTAAGCAAAATGGAGGTTGTTGCTTTTCCTCGATTCACGCTCTTCACAACACGGTAAAAGAGGAATATGTAACTACAATTAATTAACTGCATCAATGTAGTCACTAGTCTTCGAAAATGAGGGGAAGTCTTCGAAAAAGATAAGAAACTGGAAAGCTGTACAATAACAAATTAACAACGATGTGACGTTTTGTAGTATTTGGCTATTTGTACAGCTCTTTTGCTTTGAGACCTCATTTCATAGACCACCTTTGCTTTGAGACCTCAGTGTACATCTCAAGAGCTGCTTTGAGACCTCATTTTTTCAGTTTCTGATTTTCTGTATCCTCTCAAGAAAAGCAGTTCAGTGTTGGTTCTGTTGAACCATTAAGAGCAACCAACAGTCCAACCAAATGCTTGGCCCAGTACACTGAAACAGTGTTGTTACTACATTAGAAAAGCAGCTCTTGAGAAGCTTGAACAGTAGTGACGTTACTACATTAGAAAAGCTTGAACAAACTTAATACCACATTACCAAACACATAAAATAGTAAACTACAGCAGATCAACCAAACATGAAACACCTGCCAAACAACAAACGTAATTGAAAATATTCAAGACGTCTGGTCCATTAGAGAGAGACATAAAGTAGCCTTAAATTACTGTTTACTAAGGAAATCACTATCAAAATTTCAACACCTCAACTGTTGCTTACAACTTACAAGGGCGGTAAAATCACTATTAAAATTTCAAGAAAAAATAAAGAAGTTGAAGAATGAAAAAGGCGAGAAGTTGTAAACCTGTTGAAGATTGAACAATTAAGGTCAGTCGCCGATGAGAGAACTGAGAAGTCGTCGTCGCCGAGGTCTCTGTCGCACAATCGGCGGTCGAAGGCTCGAGCTCGAACTCACAGGTCACAACGGGTCATCGGCAAAGCTTTTGAGAATTGAGAGAGGTGAAAAATTGAAAATCTTATCCAACCCTAGGTATGCTAATTCCTAATTTTCTAGGGAAATTTTCGTAATTACTGATGAAATAAAAAAATATTCCACAATCTACAACTATTAAGTAAATAACATATTCTACAACATAATCATGGTAATTGTATAAAAGTTAACCCTCAAATACGGTAGATTTCCTATTAAATAGGAAACTGATTCTAAAAGTATCACTTAATAATGCAATCTTCAAGTTAAAACAAACACCCAAAAATAAAGGAGTATCCTTATTTAGGGCAACATAAAGGAAATCAATATCTAACGCAATCAATTATTTCCTAAATAATCTCCTTCTCATTTGCTGCCTTTTATAGCCTATAGTTCAACGTATCTACATTTCAACTCCAATATGTCTTTCTCCTTAAAATGATGGGTATGTTTTTCTTTTTTGTTCTTAATAAAGTGTAACTTTTAAGTCATTTAATATAAAAGGCAGAATACCTAAAGAAAATCCTAAACTTGACACATATTATTAGGTACAGCCCTAAACTATTCGTTGTCTTAATTAACCCTCTCAACTTAGCCTTTTGAGAGTCACTACCCCTGGATGCTGATGTGGCAAAGAGTGTGGGTGCACTCTCTTTTACGCAGTGAAAAAAATTGAAAAACCACCTTCCAAATAGGTTATTTTTTAACTTTTAATTGTCATAGTCATATATAACGATTTATTTATTACAACTATGTATTTCTTAAGCTTCATCTTAACATACAATGTGGACTTTACTCTAACTTTTATTATTTTTAATTTCTTCTAAGATATAATGTCTATTTGTTCCAACTGCATATTTCTTTTTTTTGTTTTTGGACGAATTTGTAAAATGTTTGGTAGGAACTCCATCATTTTAGCTAAATAAAAAATTTTAGCAAAAATAATTGAGTACCAGTTGTTTATATTTCCTGTTTTTTTCTTTATATATAATATTTATTTATTTTAATTGTGCATTTTTATTTTCGAGTCAAACCAATAAAACAAATTGGCCATAGCTCCATTATTTTTTATCAAATAAAAAAAGTATAGCCAAAATAATGAAATTGCAATTGTACACTCTTTTTATTTCTTTTTTTGATGCAATGACTATTTTTTTCAACTGTGTATTTTTACTTTTTCAAGTAAAATCTGTAAAAAAATTATTTTTAGAGCACCATAATTTAGAGCTATATAAAAAATTATACCCAAAATAATTAATTTCAAACTATGTATTTTTTATAACTTTTTAGATGCCTTGACTATTTATTTCAATTGTATAAATCATTATTTTCAGGTCAAATTCAAAAAAAGAATAACTAAAATTCTATTATTTTTAGCCAAATAAAAAAATTTAGCCTAAATAATGTAGTTCTATCCAAGTTTTATTATAAATGTTATTCAAAAAAAATTATCTAAAAAAGTAACATACTTAAAAGGGTAAAAATACAGTTTATTTTTCAAAAAAATGCCACATAAATAGAAAAATCCACGTGGCAGGCGAGAGCATGCCACTTTCCTGGGACGAGATCGTCCCGGGGGTAAAAACTATCAAATAACCAAGTATAGGGGGGTAATTAAGACCATAGATAGTTCAAGAATATACCAATAATGTGTGCCAAGTTTGGGGGTTAAGGTATTTTGCCAATATAAAAATGTGATATTGATGGCATAGTGGCTTTGACAAACTCCCCTTTACAACAAAAATAGTTTGTTGTAAAGGTATGTTAGCTACGAGTCAATATATACACACACAAACACAACATTTATATACCTTTTTATATTGAAAATTTATATTCAACTCACATTATTTATATTATGTACGTATATGTCATCAATATATGTTTTATATTTGAAGTAATAATCTATTTACATATCTGTAGTATACTACAACAACAGGGGTGGGCATCGGTCGGTTCGGTCGGTTATTATGAAAGTACGGTTCGGTTTATTGGTTTTCGATTTTGTAATATTAATAACCAAATCAAACCAAAGTATTTACGGTTCGGTGCAGTTTTTTCAAAGTTTGGTTCGATTATTTCCGATTTAATTTTTCGGTTATTAACGATTCAAGATTTTGATTAATACAGCAAGATGCTGAAACATGTTGGTTGCTTTTCCGGGGAGAGTGATGCCATAAAAGATATGATTCTCCATCCTAGTAGTAGTATTATCTTATTGTTATGATTTTGACGAAAAAGGGGAACTTATATTGCATTGCTTGTTTGGACCTCAGATAGATAGGAAAAGTTTGTCTGCACCCATCTCTATTGGGTGGGTGGAGAAATACTTTGGTCTTAGTTTTTGTCGCATTTTTTTCTTGTTTTTTGGGGGGCCGTTGAGGGTTTTCTTTCTTTTGTTATTTTAATATAAATTCTTATCTTGACCCAGATGGCTTCTGTATATATATATTATATAATAGTATAAATAGCCTTTGCAATTACATTCTGGTTCTGATGAATTATCGTTTGTATTTAGGTATCTCTTTCATAATATATTAATATTTTATCCCAAAGTGTCCATTCATGGGACAATATATTAATATATATATATATATATATATATAAAGAACTGTCCTCGCATACCCTTTTCATGTCTTCTCCTCCGCACGTATAATATTAAATTTCGGTTTTTCGGTTTAACCGAAAACCGAAACACCAAAACTGTAAACCACACCGAAAAACCAAAATTTAATATTCTAAAAATCGCACACCGACCGAATAACCGTTTAAACCGAAACCGAAAAATCGAAATTCACGGTTCGACCGGTTTTTTCGGTTCGGTCGGTATTATGTCCAACCCTACTAGTGAGGTCTGGGGAGGGTAGTGTGTACGCAAACCTTACCCCTACCCCGAAGAGTAGAAAGGTTGTTTCCGAAAGATCCTCGGCTCAAGAAGACGAAGAGAAAAGAAAAGAAAAGAAAAGAAAAGAGACAATATCAGTACTGCCAACAGATATCATAAGAAAAAAAAATTAACAACATCATGAATGCCAGAAAATAGGTGTAGAGCAAAAGCGATAACCATTAAATAGAGTCGGCTCTATGAAACGAAAGAGTAGTAAGAAACAACATTGACAATAGCTGTCTCAGACAAAAACCCTACCAAACTAGCCTCACAAATATACGAACTAAGGAAAGACTCAACTACCTCCTCGACCTCCACAGCTCTCTATCAAGGGCATGTGTAGTTATTCATAATGTATATAATTTATATTAGAACCAATATATAATTTTTATTCATTATATTCATATGCGGTCCTCGCATGCACAAGCAAGCAGATTAGCTCCCTCATTCTCTTATTGTGCTGGCATGCCTGGGCGAACGAGGTAGGGTTAGATTAGATGGAGGAGGATTGTGAATGTCCGTCCCATGAAGCGCCAGGGAACCATACATTCCTCCTGGGCTGGGCTCTCGCGTGTCCGGGATCCGATCAGATCTACTAGCGACCGGTTTACGGAACAAGGAGTTAAGCAAGGGTCGGAAGATAATTTCGAGTGTGATCAGACAACCAAAAATCAGACAATGACAGAGCGGCCTGTGATTGAGTGAGAAATTGATCGACGACGGAACGAAGAACGAAACTTTACGACAACTTTTTCGTAATTATTAGTATACTGTAGCTATATATATATATATATATATATATATATATATATATATATATACACACACTATAGGTATATAATATATTACCTATAGTATATATAAATATATTATATATATATGTATATTATACTATATATAAATACGATGATGAAATAATATCATTCATTGAAAGACAATTCAATATTCTAGAAAAAAGGAGATGGAGAGTTGAAGAACAAATTTATATTAATTCCTCCACCAGTGACCTTAAACGATTGTAGCCCTAGGGAATTTAAGTTCTAAAAATTTTATTCCATGGCTGGAAAAGACCATGAGAATAGTTGAAACCACCACTATTTGAAGAAAATGAAAACTCAAATAAATCTACAAGTTTGGACAGGGTTCGATAGTGCTCACAAGAATGAAGTCCCCATCGGCGAGCTAAAAAAAACCTTGAAATCCCAACTGGAGGTGTTAATTGCATTCAAGTATGAAGTAGATATTGCATGAGATAGAAAATTTGATAAATTTGAAGTAAAAGAAATCCCTAATTCTATGTTAAGTGGAGGTACTTTTAGGAGAATCTTAGATAATTATGCATTTAAGATTCTTATAATTGTAATCACAATCCATATTTTCAAATTTTAAAAATGAGATATTTAAGGAATATATAAGTGGTATAGTATCTAATTAAGAAGTTAAAAATTATATTAAATTGTAGATAATGTAATTATTTTAAAATGGTTGTAAGTTTTATAAATAACTCTTCAAAATGTTGTATTTCGGGTAAATTTCTCAATTTCCTATCGCTAGTCTAAGTGGGGTTGGACTTGGGCCTAAGGGTTTGGGCTGTCATGGACTATTTGGAAATTGCGATAACTATTAAGCTTAATATTTCGGTATACCGAAATATCGAAACCTCAATACCGAGAATCGTATCGAAATACCGATAACTGAAATATTTATACCGAAATAGTACCGAAATACCAAATTAACTGAAACCGAAATACCGAATTAATTCGGTCCGGTTCGAAATTTAATTTTTCGGATTTTATGCCCACCCCTAGTTAAGAGAGAAATAGGAGGGTATTCCTGGGGTAGACTAGAAATTTGTGAAATTGCAAAGTAGTCTCTTGTTCTTAGTTTTCTTTTAGTGTACCCGTAAGGCCCCTATTGTGTATAGAAAAATAGGCTTCTTTTGTGGAAAATCATATTTTGGTGCAGGTTCTCTACTTTTTGGTATATATCTTGTATACAGAGTTTATCCACCATCAATAAAATTATTTACCTTATAAAAAACATATCCTCGAACAATAACACTCACCAATGGCAATTGTTTTTGAAAAGGAATTCGAGGGCATTCAAGACATTCACCAACTGAACGTCGTTTTTGAAAAGGAATTCGAGGGCATTCAAGACATTCACCAACTGAACGTCGTTTTTGAAAAGGAATTCGAGGGCATTCAAGACATTCACCAACTGAGGACGTTCAGGATAACTCGAAAATTTGAAAAGGACTAAAAACTATTTTACTGGCTTGGCATGAAAAAGGATGTGGTGAAACTTGTCAATAATTGTGACACTTGTCAGAGAAGCAAGTCTACGACGAAGTCCCGAGGGAGATCCTATGGAGATGTTTGGATGTTAGCGGTGTTCCGGTAGCGTACATTAGGGTGATTAAGGATATATACGAGGGAGCTAAGACTCGGGTGAGGACTGCGGGTGGTGACTCGAGCATTTCCCTGTGGAGATAGGGTTATAT